AACGGGTGGGCCGGGCTCCGCAGCGCCGCGCGTCCCGGGCAGCGCCGGGCAGCGAGACCGAAGCGCTCTCGCCGGCAGCCCGCGCCCGAAGCTCACTTCCGCTCCATCATGGCGGCCATTGGCGGCGTTGCCCGCAGTCTCGGCGCTCCTCGGTCTCACTCAGTGGCCTCCGCAGGCTGCAGAACTGGAAAGCAGCGCCGTCCTCTCTTTCTGGGAGGGGCGGCCGGGTCCAGCGTCCGGCCCACTGGCCGATCCCGGCGACTCGCCGGCTTTCGGGCAGCTGACGCTCGAACCCTCCAAAGGCCGCAGACCCCGGACCCGCTGCAGGAAGGGCGGGCGGGAGGAGCACTGCGCAGGCGCAGGGAGTGGCCGGGCACCCAATCATAGCCCGTGCCGGGCCGCAGACCACCTCGGCTCCACCTCGCTCCAGCTCGGCTGCGGGTTTGGGCTCCAGAACAAGTTTTCCTGCGAGTTGAGGGGCCGAGGGCGCTGCGGGATTGTTTATAACTCAGGAAGCTCGACTCGTCTTTTTCTTTGGAGAAGTTTGTTTTAACCACTTAATGGTATTGTTTAATTTAGTATGACACCGGATCTCTAAAAGAAAGCGTTTGCTTTCATTTTGGCCACTGTTGGTTTTGTTTTGTTTTTTAGATTGCTTTGCCATAACCGGGGAAATTTGAATTAAGGGTGGGGCATGACCCTGGTACATCCCCGCCCGACGCGCGCCTCTTTCAGTATGAGTTGGAGAAACATAACAAAGGGGAAGTTTCTTTAATGAAAAAAGTTTTCGAAGAGATATGGAACAGAAGGGTGGGATGGAAGAAAAACTTCTCTTTCACTCTTCATCTTCGGCTACCCAGGATTTGACCATCACACAGGTGGATCACAACATCCCGAAGGTATTCGGTGAATTCCCACCACACGTAAAATGCAACACAGAGGAATGAAAACTGGTTGCTTAAGATTGTGCCTTTAAAGGTCCAGGATCTAGGCCCTAAATTAATGTGTGAATTACATATCTAAGAAAAATAGTCTGGAGGCTTGAGTTGTAGGTCAGGCATGGTGCTTGCTTAGAAACCAGGAGGCCCTAGCTTCCACCCCTTGCACCGTAAAAACAAACAAATGACTTAGCATTCTCTTCTCAGAAGAATACCACAAAACTCTATGTGGAAAAAGTTCTGAAGTGCTACAAGGGAAAATGCTTCAAGGATAATTAGAAACCTTTTCTTATGGTTTCCAGACTTTGCTAGGAAAATGAAGCATGAAACTATGGAAAACTCCATTGACCCCTGAGCTTGCTGGAGGAGTCTAGCACCTCTGAAAACAAATCCAGGGTTCAATAGAGTCAACCTGATTGTCTCCTGCAGTGAAGGAGTGCTGCGGGACAATGGTCTTGTACCCTGTCACTTGTATTGTATTGTTTTAATAAAATGTCAATTGGCCAGTAGCCAGGCAGAAAGTGTAGGTGGGGCTATCAGAACAGGAGAATTTTGGGAAGAAGAAAGGTTCAGTCTGTAGTCGTCATCCAGACACAGAGGAAGCAAGATAAGAATGCCTCCGTGATAAAAGGTACCAAGCCTCCCGGCTAACACGGACAAGAATTATGGGCTAATTTAAGATGTAAGAATTAGTCAATAAGAAGCCTGAGTTAATAGGCTAACCAGTTTATATTAATGTAGACCTCTGTGTATTTCTTTGGGACAGAATGGCTGCAAGACTGGGTGAGACAGAAACCCTCTGTCAACAGAGAAGAGCTCACAAGAGAGGAACAGTGGGGAATCTTAGAAATATAGAAAAAGATGGGAGTATTAAACCTTGGAAGTGTAGAATTTAGGTACAATTTAAATGGTTCAGTATTTTGAGAGGCTCTAAGCAAAGCAGAACTCTGATAAAGGTACCACCCCCAGGGCTATATAATAGTGGTTAAGGTTCCATTTCCTTGAACATGACAAAATTACCACCCATGTGGAATGTTGTCTTGGGAATATCCTTTTTCTGAAGTTCTTCAAATCAAGACTGCTTTGCTGTTTCTGTGATCCTCCAGACATTAGTGGAAGGTTTTCTTTGTGCTGATGTTTAGAACCACAGTTTCTGGTAGTCTGTGGTTTTAGAGAACAGTTTTTCAGTGAGAAATCCAGTCAGTGTAAGGAGGAATCGGCTGTAGTGTTGTATGATGTAGCATGTCCTTGAAAGAGATACCTTTTTCTGCTGTTTTTATCTGCCTTTATGTCTGTTAATAATTCAGTCTACCGAGATTTTTACTTTCTTGCCTCTTAGTCCTTTTACTCTTCATCTGATTTATTATATCTATATCCTATCTCCTTTATCTCTAATTTCAAAAGGAATTAGTTTTTCTCTTGAAAAGTAAGATTTTGTTATTTGTTTTTTTGGTTTTTTTTGTTTTTTGGTTTTTTTTTTTTTTTTTTGGTTTTTCAAGACAAGGTTTCTCTGTGTAACTGTTCTGAAACTCACGTTGTAGACCAGACTGGCTTTGAACTGACTGAGATCTGCCTGCCATTACTTCCCAAGTGCTGGGATTAAAAGCGTGTGCCACTACTGCCCAGCCAAAAAAGTAAGTTTTTCATTTACATTCCAAATTCTCCAGTACCTGGCTCCTACCAGTATTTATCTTCTATCTCTAGTTAGTTGTTTCTCCTCCTCCTTCTTCTTTTTTCTCCTCTCCCTTCTTTTCCTCCTTTTTCTCCTCCTCCTTTTCTTTTCTCAGCTCACCTGAAGGAAAGGGTAGAGAAATGCATGCTGTACCAGAGCTGAGAGGCTGAAATAGAAAGATTGCAAGTTCAAGTCCATCCTGGCATACATGATGAGTTCCAGGCCACCCAAGATAGATAGAAATGCCGTACCTCAAGCAAACAAACAAAAAGCTATAAATAAAATAGACAAAGAAAGAAAGAAAGCCAACAATAGATCTAATACCTTTATTGGTTTCTTTGACTATTAACCTTTCATCAAAGGTAAATAGAGCCAGACCCTAAAGCCAAGCTCCAAGTAGAGTTTCATTAGTGTTGGAGGGTCTTCTGTCTATGTGTTGCTTTCACTGGTTAAATAAAGAGACTGCCTTGGCCTTTTGATAGGACAGCAGCTTAGATAGGCGGAGTAGACAGAACAGAATGCTGGGAGAAAGGAGGCAGAGACAGGGAGCCACTATGGAGCCAGCCGCCAAGTCAGACATGCTGAATCTCTCCTGGTAAGCCACAGTCATGTGGTGATACACAGATTATTAGATATGGGTTAAAGCAAGATGTGAGAGTTAGCCAATAAGAGGTTAGATCAATGGGCCAGGCAGTGTTTAAATTACGTCCATAATTATTTCGGATGTAAACTAGTCGGGCAGCAGGAAGCAGCCCACTGCTCCTTTTACATTTCATCAGTCATATGCTATTGCAGTTGGAAAAGAACCCACAGTGAACTGAATTCTGGTTTGTACTGAGATAATTAGGCATTTTTTAAGGAAAAAGACGGGAGCAAAAAAGGAAATGAGCTAGAGCGAGAGAAATGAAAAAAGTACAAAAACTGGCTGGGCAGTAGTAGCACATGCCTTTAATCCCAGCACTCAGGAGGCAGAGGTAAGCCTGGTCTGCAAGAGCTAGTTCCATAACAGCTAGGGTTGTTACACAGAGAAACCCTGTCTCCCTGTCTCCATGTCTTGAAGAACCAAAAAAAAAAAAAAAAAAAAAAAGGACTGTGCCATAGCCTCAAATAGACTCCAAGCACTGAGTCTCCACTTCCTACAAAAAATACTTAATTACCCAACTCTCTAGCTTTGGTGACCAATATCAGCATTCTCCCATACTCCAGGCTTGAAAATTACCATCAGTGAGAACCACACTTTCCTGATCTCTTTATGTGCCAAAGAGAAGGGTGGTAGTCTGAATATGAATCTCAGCTTCTACTCCATGGTTTCCCCTGGTTCCCCCTGTTTTCCAACTCAGAATATCTGAGCAATGATTGATTAAGAGCATTGACCTTCAAGTCTCCTTACCACCCATGGAAATGAATGTCCAAGAGGTAACTCAAAAGGCTTCCCAGATATGGGAAGCAGAGAAAGATGAATGGGCCTGGGAGGGAATCCTCTGGGTGCTGCTGTGAGCAGAGGACCAACAACCAATGTCCATGGCCTTTCGACCCTTGCTTCTTCCTCCTTCATAACAGTGTTTGGAAGCTCAGGCCTCATAAAAACAAAAGCCATAAAGGGAAGTGTTGTGCAAGAGCCTTCAGCTTTCAGGCCTGCCATACATGCTTCGGTTAGGAAGCACCCACCTCCTGTCCTCATAGAACCAAGAAGGAGAAAAATGCTATGCAAAAACAAGAGCTTCCTCAACCATTTGTGATAATAAACAATTATGGTAATAAAAGCCTATGGAGTACTTTCATGAGAAAATAAAAATTTATTTTTTATTTGCGTGTATTGCATATGTCTATATAAGTGTATACCTTGTGTGCAGGCGCCTGCAGAGCCAGTCGAGTGCATAGAATTCCTGGAGCTGGAGTTACAGGTTTTTGTGAGCCACTTACCATGGGAACTGAGAACAAACTGCCATCCTATGTCCTAGTCACTAAACCACCTCTCCAATCCCCTAAAGACTGATATTTTAAAACTTGGTAATCCCAGTTTTTCTTCCATATATAAATAAGGCAATTATAGAATTGCCCAGTCCTTCATGGCTTGGTCCTGGGACCTGACTAGGGTGACTCGGGAATGAAGAAAGGACAGACAGACAGACAGAAAGGTTGGGATTGGTTAGGCCCTGCTTTCTCTGACAGCAGGAGAAGGAGGGGAAGTCTCTGTATGGGAGCAGTTTCTGGCTGTTAAGATCCAGGAGGATGCTGCTTCTGTAAATTCTGTCAGCATTGCACACAGGTCATAGGAAGGCTTTGCCAGTTCCCTGAACCTGACCTATTGATCTAAGGCATGGATGTCTTTGTCAGTAATGCACATTCACTCAGGACTCCATCTTCTCCTTACACACTCACTCAGGACTTCATCTCCTTACACACTCACTCAGAACTCCATTTTCTCCTTACACACTCACTCAGGACTTCATCTTCTCCTTTACACTCATTCAGGACTTCATCTCCTTACACACTCACTCAGGACTCCATCTTCTCCTTCACACTCACTCAGGACTTCATCTCCTTACACACTCACTCAGGACTTCATCTTTTCCTTCACACTCACTCAAGACTCCATTTTCTCCTTACACACTCACTCAGGACTTCATCTCCTTACACACTCAGGACTCCCTCATTCCCCATAAGACAACATTTATAGCAAAATAGTACCTTTCTTTGAGTTTGTGACTTGTCAACATAACATACTAAGGAAAATGTGATACCTTTATCTACACAGATTATTAGTCTTCAGTGATAGCCCTCCAATGAACCAGGCCTCCGGGGAGTCATACCTTTATGTGACCTCTTTCCTAGGATCTAAACTGGCCCCGTACCCTTGCTCAATACGAAATACTTCATGTTCATGATATCTGAAACTAACTGTGAAGAAGGCTTGCAGTATCAACTTTGATCTCTTGGAATACTCCTTTTGTTCTGACTGATGCATCAGGTCCACTGCTGCTCCTCCCCCACCCCCCAGAAAGCATCACTACAGCAAGGTCATGTGTAGGCACTCCAGGCAATAGTCTCAGAGGGTCTCAGCTTTCCAGGCATTCCTACCTAGGGACCAGACTTGGTAGGGAAGCCGTTTCAGACTTGCAGGGAGGCATTATCCATTAGTTGAATACCAGTTAGTAATCTCAATTGACACTCAGTGCAGAAAAGTCAACCAGCTGAGGCCTGCCTAAATTCCTAGCCCATAAAATCATTAAATGCAATAAAACAGTTATTGTTTCAAGATGTTCCTACTTGGAACTTGAATTTTATCTTTGAGAAATAAGTTTACAAAGTGTAACAAAGTGTAACGAATGTACTTAGATTGGACTTTATTCTAGAATCATTAAAAATTTAAGAGTTGGAAAGGGGCCTGGAGAGATGGCTTAGTAGTTAACAGCCCTGGCTGTTCTTCCAGGGGACCAGGTTTGATTTTTACCACACCCACAGAGGCTCACGCCCATCTGCAAATTCTGTACTAGGGGTGCCCTCTAGTACAACGCCCTCTGCTGGCTTCCTCAGGCACTGCATACACATGGTACACAGACACATGCAGATGAAATACCATGCAGAAAAAGTTGGAGAGGGTCTATTGTAACTGCTTTTCTATTGTAACTGCTTTCTAGAACAGTACTGCTCTAAGAAAATGTGCTTTATATTCTATGTGAAATGGCTTTCAGAATGGGCTTCTAGGATAGGTTAGTAGTAACCATTTCTTCAACCACTGAAAGCTATTCTTATTGTTGTTATTTTTTAAGACAGTGTCTCTCTACATAACCTAACTATCCTGAACTCACTCTGTCGATCAGGCTGGCCTTGAATTCACAGAGATCCACCTATCTCTGCCTCTGGAATGCTAGGATTAAAGGTGTACGCCACCATGCCCAGCACTCTAAAAGTTATTTTTTGCAAAACTATTTTTAGAGCCTGGAAAGATTGCTCAGTGGTTAAGAGCACCTGCTGCTACTGTAGGGGGCAGAGTTTGTTTCCCAGCATCCATGCCAGGTAACTTTGGCTCCAGGGGATTCTATATCATTCTCTGGCCTCAGAGAGCACCTAAACACACGTGGTATTGTTAGATACACACATACATAAAAATAAATCTTTCAAAGTTATTTTTAAACATAACACATAAGATTGTATTTAAAGTATATGACCTGAGACTTTGAAGCATATATTGTGGAATGAATTTATCTAGCTAATTAACATATGCATTACCTCACATAATTATCATCTTGCAATAGAAACATTCTGTATGTACTCTCTTAACATATTTTAAGAATATACCACAAGGTTAGCTACTATGTTTACAATAGATGTCTTGTCTTGAAACCATTCTTCCCCTTTCAATGGCGTTTTTTTTATATATATTTTGACTAGCATCTCCTCCAACTCCCCTTCGCTATCCACACATTCTCTGACCATTACTCTGTATGTCTAGGAATCAATTGTTTTAGATTCTACATGTGACTGAGAACATGAGGCATTTGTACTTCAGTACCCATCTTATTTTCACTTTTTTTTCAACCTGGAGTATCATGTAGCCCAGACTGGTTTTGACTTGCAATGCAGCTGATATGACATTTACATATTTTAATTTTAATTTATTATTATTGTTGTATAAGTGATGTGTGTGATGTGTATGAGTGTGGGTTCTTGTGTGGAGGCTAAAGGACCAGTTAATGCGGCTGTGCAGCTAGCTGACTTGACAAGCAATTCTTCTGTCTTTGCCTCTCACCTCACCATAATAGTGCTGGGATTCCGGGTGTGCACCATCATCTTGGTTTCTGTGTGATGCTAGAGGTTGAAATCAGGCCATCATGCAGGCTAGGCAAGAACTCTGCCAATGGAGTTACATTCTCAGCCCACTCATTTCACTTACCATAATGTCCTCCCTGTTCATCTATGCTACACAAATGCTAAGATTTCCGTTACTTAAATGGATGAGGAGTATCCATTGCATGTGTATCATATTTTCTTTATCATTTCACTTATTGGTAAACATTTAGATTGGTTCTGTGTCTTAGCCATTTTTAATAATGTTGCAATAAACATGGAAGCACAGGTACCTCTTTAACATCCCGATTGCACAGCTTGGATGCATGCCCAGTGGTGGGACAGCTGCATCGTAGCTCCATATTTTACTTTTTGAGGAAGCTGCTTTTTCCCATAATGGCTGTACTGTTTATTCCTATCAATGATGTGTGAGGGTTCTCTTTCCCACATCATAACCAACACTTATATTTTGTGTTTTTAATAGTTATTGTATCATGTATGAGGTAATATCTGATAGTGGTTTTGATTTGCATTTTTTCTAATGATTGGCATTGTTGGACATTTTTCATCTACATATTGGCTACTATTTAGATCCATCATCCATTTAAAATTTTTAAATTTGCTTTCTTGCTCTTGAAGAGTTTATCACTTGGATATTAACTGACCCATTAGATACATACTTTTCAGACAAGTCCTCTCATCCTATAGTCTTTCTCTTCCTCTGCTAATTGTTCCTTTTTCTGTGCAGAAGCTTCTTAGCCTGGCGTAGCCTCATTAGTCGAGTCTTGCTTTTGTTATTGTGCTTCTGGGATTGCAGCCACAGACATTCTTGTTCTGGCCACTGTTGTGGAGGATTTCTTTCTCATATATCTTCAGGTAGGTTCACAGTTTGAGTTCTGCATTTAAATGTTTATTCCATTTTGATTTTATTTTTTTATATGTTGTGAGATAAGGGTGCATTTCATTCTTCTGCATGTAAGTATTCAGTTTTCCTGAATTCTCTGTTGTGTGTTCTTGGCATTGTGGAAAATCAGTTGGACATGTTGGATTTCTTTGGGAGTTACCTATTCTAGTCCATTCGCCCGTGTGTCTGTTTTGCTCCTAGTACCAGGGTGTTTTGGACACTATAACTATGTAGTATATTTTGAAGTCAAGTGTTGTTATGCGGGTGTCTACTCCCTAGCTGTGGGTGTTCTTTCTGTTCAAGAATGCTGTGACCATTGAAGGTCTTTTGTGCTTCATGCCGAATATAGAATTTTTAAAAATATGTATTTTTCTGTGGAATAACCTGGTATTTCCATAGGGATTGCACTGAATCTGTAGATTGCTCTGATCTAAACATCACTAATGATATTCTTTTGGACTGGTTGTTTTCCATAGAGATGAACTCTAATTTATTGCTAGGTTAACATACACTCTGCTGTCAGTTTTGGGGTATTGTTTGTTTGTTTTTTATTGAGTAGGGTTGGATGATCTCAGGATTCAGTCTGTAGTTTGTTTTTCAGTTTTCAGGGAAGCAAACCAGTCTTCTCTCCAGCTGTGTCTGGGGTTCCCTAGTCCTCAGCTTCTCTGGCCCAGCATACCCAGATAGGAAGTTTCCTTCCTTCAATTGTGTAGGAGGGTGCAATCGCTTGGCATTTCTGGTTGAGGGAGATTGTATTTCCTAAAGTCTCTATAGAAACTTCAACAAAACTTTCCTATTTTCCACTCTACCCTTCCCCATGCCTCCTGGTGTCTATAATTCCTAAAACTTTCAGTGTTGTATGTAGAATACAGACTGACTCTTAACTTTCTACTCTACTAGCCTAGGATTTGGCATTCTCCAGAATATTTAGGTAGATTACATCTCCAAAGTGGTGGTACTGTCTTTTTGGTTATGATTTCCTTACATATGTGGGTTTAGGACTTTTGTCTGTATTTACTGTCACTTTAATGGAAAGTCAGGGGATAGAAGATAAATGTGAATATTCACTCTGCTTTATTTTCCTTTTTGCAGTACTGAAAATGGAATTCAAGACCCGTGTCAGGCAAGCACCCCAGCACTCAGCTTTGTCTCGACCCCCAACTTGCCCACTGTGTCCCTGACCACAGTTTGTGCCTGCCACTCATTCTCCAGAAATGCTTATTTAACTCAGTACTTGGGCTCTCTTAAGTGCTAGTAAATCATCTGTATTGAATGACATTGGAATTCAATGAATGCCTCTTAATTACCCTGCTGTACTCAAGAGGTGGTGGCATAGGAGCATGAGCCACTTCCTCTTGCGAGAAGCCTGTTCTGGGATGGGGTCATTGTAATCATAAGTCATAAGTTCTACAAGTGGTGTCACAAAAAGTGCTCATTTAGGGAGCAAGTTATTTTCATTTATTTACTTACTGTGTGAAGTCAGAGTTGTTGATTCTCTCCTCCACCATGTGCATTCTGGGAATAAAACTCAGAGCCTAAGTCTTGGGGGCAAGTACCTTCTCCCTCTTAGCCACCTTACTGCCTCCAAGGGTTTCATGCCACTTCTTTTTTACATTTATTTATGTATACATGTGTTTGAAGTGTGCACGTGTTGTTGTTTTGTTTTTGCTGGATTTTAAAAATTGCTCTATTTGGAAAATGTGTAGCTTACAAAAGTTAGCTGCAAACTATGGAGACCTCTGCGGTCATGACTTAATTTTCTTAAGTGAGAGAGTGGGTGGGTTCCAGGGAAGTGAGAAAGAAGGATAAACCCAAGCATCTCCCAAGTTATTTCAGGAAACAGAGTGACAAAATGCAAAGGTAAAATAGGTGAAAATTTCCATCAAGGAATTCTTTTTTTTTTCTACTTCCCATGTAGATTAGATCTATGTAAGTCTCTCTTAGTGTCCGCATTGTTGTCTAAGTTTTCTGGGATTATGGTTTGTAGGATGACTTCCTTTGCTTTATGTTTAAAAATCACCTATGAGTGAGTACATATGATAATTGTCTTTCTGTATCTGAGTTACCTCACTCAAAATAATGTTTTCTAGCTCCATCCATTTTCCTGCAAAATTCAAACTGTTGTTTTTTTTTCTGCTGTGTAGTACTCCACTGTGTAAATGTACCACATTTTCCTTATCCATTCTTCAGTCGAGGGGCATTTAGGTTGTTTGCAGGTTCTGGCTATGACAAACAATGCTGCTGTGAACATAGTTGAGCACATGTCCTTGAGGCATGATTGAGCATCTTTTGGATATATACCCAAAAGTGATATTACTGGGTCTTGAGGAAGGTTGTTTCCTAATTTTCTGAGAAATCATCACACTGACATCCAAAGAGGCTGTACCAGCTTGCACTCCCACCAGCAATGCAGGAGTGTTCCCTTTTCCCCACAACCTCTCCAGCATAAGTTGTCATCAGTGATTTTGATCTTGACCATTCTTACAGGTGTAAGATGGAATCTCAGAGTTGTTTTGATTTGCATTTCTCTGATGACTAAGGATGTTGAACATTTCCTTAAGTGTCTTTCAGCCATTTTAGATTCCTCTGTTGAGAGTTCTCTGTTTGGGTCTGTACTCCATTTTTTTTTTTAATTGGATTATGTGATCTTGATCTTTTGGTATCCAATTTCTTGAGTTCTTTGTATATTTTGGAGATCAGACCTCTGTCTGATGTGGGGTTAGTGAAGATCTTTTCCCATTCTGTAAGCTGTCGTTTTGTCTTGTTGACTGTGTCCTTTGCTTTACAGAAGCTTTTCAGTTTCAGGAGGTCCCATTAATTAATTGTTTCTCTCAGTGTCTGTGCTGCTGGGGTTATATTTAGGAAGTGGTTCCCTGTGCCAATGTGTTCAAGTGTACTTCCCACTTTCTCTTCTGTAAGGTTCAGTGTGGATGGCTTTATCTTGAGGTCTTTGATCCATTTGGACTTGAGTTTTATGCATGGTGATAGATATGGGTCTATTTTCATTTTTCTATATTTTGATATCCAGTTATGCCAGCACCACTTGTTAAATATGGTTTTTTTTCCATTTGATATTTTTTGCTTCTTTATCAAAGATCAGGTGTTTGAAGATGTCTGGATTGACATCCGGGTCTTCTACTTGGTTCCATTGGTCCTCCTGTCTGTTCTTATGCCAATACCAGGCTGTTTTCAGTACTGTAGATCTGTAGTAGAGTTTGAAGTCAGGGATGGTGATGCCTCCAGAAGTTCTTTTATTGTACAGGATTGTTTTGGCTATCCTGGTTTTTTTTGTTTTTTTTTTGTTTTTTTTGTTTTTTTTTGCTTTTCCATACGAAGTTGAGTACTGTTCTTTCAAGGCCTTTGAAAAATTTTGCTGGAATTTTGATGGGCATTGCGTTGAATCTGTTCAGTTCTGTTTTTTCACTGACACTCTACAAGCTAAGGAATTAAGACAAATCCTGTTCAGAAGGGGTGCCAGATGTCTGTCTTACTATGAAGGGGCTGAAGTGTGTGTGTGAAAGTTTAGCCTTGAGTTTCATCACATACATCTTAGTGACAGAATCAAAAGAGAAGAGTTTTAAAGTTGAAATCAAGAAGGCGAAGCCTCCCTTGCCCCAATAGTGGTCATGTTGGAACATGCCTGTTTTAGCTAAGGCTTAATCAGGACGACTCCACCTCACGATGGGGATAAACACACAGAGTAACTACTAAGCTATTTCTATGACTAAGAGGTACAGTAGTCTCCTTGTCTGAGGCAGCATGCTCCAGTTCCTCCAGTCGATGCTTAAAATTGCAGACAGTACCAACGCTTAGCTTTACCCTGCCTTTCCTACACATGCACACAGTGCAGTGAGGACCTGGACAAAGGGTGATTCATGCTCTGGGGGGACAGCAAAAGGGGAGGAGACTTCATCGTGCTATTCAGAATGGCCTGCAATTCCAAACACATGAATTGTTTATTCCAGAATTTTACATATAATGTTTTTGGATAGCAGTTGGCCAACAGATAATTGAAAATCCATGGGTAAGTATGTGTAGCATGAATAATAAATACCCAGAGACAATTGGTGTTCAACCTGAAGATCAGAGAAGCGAGGCAGCCAAGCCACTAGAGAGACCTTAGATCTATGAAGTCTTCAGATTGAAAAAAAGCAAGTTCCTGTCTCATCCCATTTTATATTCCTCTCTAGTGCTGGGATTAAAGGCGTGCACCACCACTGGCTGGTCTCTAAGACTAACTAGTGTGACTGCTGTGATTAAAGGTGTGTGCCACCACTGCCTGGCCTGTATGGGTGACTAGTGTGGCTGTTTTGCTTTCTGAGCTTCAGGCAAGAATATATACTACTATATATAAGGGGGAACCAAATGTATAAACTTAATTTTGTAAGGATCTTGTCTTTTTCAAGATCATCAAACTGTAAATATATTGCTCAGTAAGATAGTATTCCAATAGCCCGTTTGGTACGGGAGTCCATTAGACCTCAAATCTTTTATTCACAGCATTAAAATCCATGTAATTGACATTTCTGAAAGTTGTTTGTACATTTGCAGCTGGTTGATCTAAACCTCACAATATGGAAGAACGGGATTATTGGAGAATTAGGAAATGACTGGAAGGATTCAGATCAGCAGTATAAAACACTGACATTTACAATATGCTTAAACAAAACACACTGATTAACAGTCAAAATGCAACTTCCAAGTACAGGATCTATAATTCAAATGCAACTTTTTCATTTCCTCATTGGTGTGCTGAGAATAAGCATGTGACTGACCAGAATCAGAGTGCAGTATGTACCCAGACTACAAAAATCTCCAAATCAATGTGTGAAAGTAGCTCAGTATACCTTTGCAGATTTGACTCCATGAAATCACTTGCTCTCCTTCTTTAGGGCTGGGAGGAAAATATGTATAAGATCTGGTTAAGCTCACAAGATGGAATTTTTTTTTGCTTTGTACATAAACATACATGTGTGCACTCATATATAAATATCACAATAACATACTTACATTTATTTATAATGCATACACATAAGTCATTCATACATATAATATATATGTATGTATTTGGAGTTAATAATTTATTTCCTATATTATCCCCCCATCCTAAAATTCTGCTCCCTCATCCAATTTAATGTAGCCTTAGGAAGTAGAAGCAGCCATAAAGTTTGTACCTGCAAATTCAAGGTCACAAACAGAAGAGTTCTGCGAGCCACTGAGTGAAGTCTACAGCAACCACTTACCACTCACAGTTAAGTTTTCTTATCTGCAGTCAGTAGTCAGTGTAGTTAATCTGACAGTTGCTTTAGCCCATCAGGAAGGAATGGATTCAGGGTTCAGCTGTGTGGTATTTCCTCTAGTCTTGGATGGCAGCACAGGTGCCAGGAGTCCCACAGCCCACAGTGTATTTTCCAGGACCAAAATCTTCATTCAACAGATAACAACTTTCCACCATAAGCCCCAGCCTCTGAGGTTAAATAGGGAAGAAAGGCCTAGTCCCATCCTCAAGGCTCTCACAGGCCAATGGCAAAAAAATTAGGTCTCTAGTTGAGGTAGCTACCATTTGTTAAAGAGTTCATAATTCTTCACTACTTTTTAATGCTACTGTCAAACACTAAATTGTCATATATTCTGGTCTTTTTAAGATAAAAGATATGAGGCAAGCACAGAGGTACACAAACACACTCATAGCACTCAGGAGACAAAGTCAGAAGATCGTGAGTTCAAGGTCAACCAGGACTACATACTGAGACCCTATCTCAAATAGATAAACAATAAGACACTCATTAAAGATTCCATCACTTTGTCAATTGTCAAACTTACAGCAAAGTCAACAGAATTTTCCAATAATCACACATGTTCCTATAGCTTGGATTCTGCACTAATCATTTCACTTTTTTTTTTGTGAATCCAGCCATCCACCCATCTAGTTATCACCCAGCCACCCAGCCAGCTGCCCATCTTCTCATCCTTCTCTTGATTCCCTTCCTTTTGGCGTATTTCCAGTTAAACTGTAGACACCACCATACTTCTCCTTAGCTACAACACAGTATTTTTAAAATTATAGTTTCATGGTAAGTTTGTAGTTTTACTGTTACCACAGCTGGATTTTTCAATTACAAATTACAGAAAATTTGGCATTTAAAGTAATTTCCTACTAAGAACATGAAAACGTATCACCTTTGGGACAGAACAGCTTGTTTGGTGAAACTCAACTGCACATTGCCAAGCACGAGGCCTAAATTTACCTGTGAGAACAGAATGTTTCT